TTTGGCTAATTCTTGGGCTTTTCTTTCTCGTTCCAGGTTTTCCCATTTAGTTCGCCTTTGTTCTTCTTCTAGTTGATTTTGTCTTTTTAGTTGTTCTCTTAAATTTTGGGAAAGGAGATTGATATTAGTGGCATTGTGTCTAATGTTATTTTTGTTTTCTCCGACTTGTTTTTCTAATTTTAAGTGGGCTTGATGTAATTGATTAATTTTTTCCTGATGAGTGTCTAGTTGTTTTTGTTGGTTATTTAGTTGGTCTTCAAAAGAATCCATTTTAGTTTCAAAAGCAGTTATTCGCTCTTTTTCCTTTTCCATTAAAGAATTAAGGTTAGTAATTTTTTCTTCGTGGGATAAGGAAGTGTTTTGGAGAATGCCAATTGCCTCTTCGCTGTCCTTCATTCGGTTTTTAACTTCGTCAATTTGAGTATTAACTGCGGTAATGGCTGTTTGAATTTGCTCGGCTTCTGTTTTATTAGCACTAATGGCTTCTTCTAAGGCTTGTTTTTGTAGTTCCAGTTCAGTTTTGGTTTCTGTATTAGCCTTGTTAAGTTGGTCTTGAAGATTTTTATAGTCTTGGGCTAATTGAAGTTCTCGGTCTTTGGCTTGTTTGAGGCCGGCTTGGAGGTCGGTTATATTGCCCTCCATAGTGGATTGAGTTTCTTTGAGGGAAGCGGAAGTGTCTTGAAGTTTAGCCACTCTTATTTCCTGGTAAATGTCGTCAATTGCTCCGATAACATTTCCAACCCAAGGAATAGATTTTACAAATGCCTTAGAACCCTGTTTTAACCCTTCCGTCGCCAATATTTTAGCAACCTTACTACCAATAGTCACAGCACTACCCGCTCAAAATTCTCAATTTTTCAAAAATTTAACTTTCTCTCAAACTTCGTTTTCTTTTTTATTATGTAATTTTTTCCCGCCTTTTTCCCCTTTTTCGAAAAACTTTGCTTTTTCTTCTTTATTTTCTGTTGTTGAGTTGCCGCTGCTAGACGCAATATTTTCCTCTTCTAATTGTGTTCTTTGATGTTTAGTACGTTCATTTTTTAGCATATTTTTACATATTAATATATTTTAGTTTTTTTCTTGTAATTTTCTTAATTTGTTTTGAGTTAGTAAGAGTTCAGTTTTGGTTTCGAGTAATTCTTTGCGAAACCGCTCTGTAAATTTTTCGATGTCTTTCTCGTTTTGTCTTTCTCAATCTTTATCCCTATTTGCTTCATAAAAAAGAGAATAAACTTGTAAAATCAAAGAAACAGAATAAGTTATTATTCAAGCATAGATATACTTTTTCGTTCCCATGTTTTTTCATCAATCTGTTAATCCAAAATATGCCGGAAAATAAGGAATGAAAGTCAAGATTGCAAAGATAATAAAGTTAATAATCGAACCTATAATGGGTATTTTTTCGATTCTTTCATTTTTATTGACTAGTTTTCCATTTTCATTCATAATCTGTGTTTTTCATTTTACAAAATTATTATGAAAATCCTTCCAAATATTCCCTGTATAGCATCTGTACGGTGGTTGTATAAGAATAATTTTCTCAGAAAAGAAAAACTAATTAACCAGTGCTTGGTTTAGTCTACTTTCTTCGCTGGTAATTTTTACTCGAAGGGGAAGATTTAATTTTTCTACATAAGAAATTAGGCTGTCAAGGGCAAAGGCTTCAATATGATAATGTAAGAGTTTATTAGTAGTTAATTCGTCTAGTCGTAAGATATTCGCCACTTTATCCAAGGTCATTTTTTTTATTCTTTTATAACGAACAATATTCTGGCAAAGTTCATATTTGATTTTTTCCAAAGTGGTGGCTTCTTTGCTGAGAATCACACTTCCCAAAACATTATCGCTTTCCACTTGGCGAAAAAGTTTTTCCTCCTCAGGGCTAGTAGGGATTTGGATAATGTTTTCTTTTTTCATAATTTCTATATTAATTTATTATTTTAACGGGATGGCAAGTTCGCACATAAAGAATAGAATAATCTTTATCTAACCACCATCATCAAACCAGTTTATAAGTTTTATTCCTGTAAAAATGATAAGTTTTGAAATATACTTTCTTGCCGTCTTCTCCGACTACTTCAAATTCTTCCTTATCCAATAATTCTACCAAATTCATAATCTTTTCCTTAGTAATCCCTTCTTTGTCGTGTTTATCACAATGAGAACTGATATTTACTTGTTTGATTGAACGGTCATTAACAACAATTGATTTTGACAAATAACAAATAGTGTAGGTAATTATTTCTTTGGTTAACATCTCCTTGCTTAATATTTTTTAAACCAGTTTTTTACAACATAAAAACCCTATCTGATTTTGTTACACTAATCACTTGCTTATAAATTTTACCATTGTAATTATCTTCTCTTTCTTCGTATTCTAGTTCTAATTCGGTAGGATTGCCAGTTAAGAGTTCTCAGCCTGCTTTAACTTTCTTTTGGAAACAAAAATAAGCCTCATCGGGGTTATCGTTATTAATAATTACGAAATATTGTTGAGAATGCTTGCCTAACAAGTCTTTAATTTTGAAGTTGGTTAGTCTGGTTGAATCGGTACCTTTTAAATTAGTGTTCTTTGAAGAGTATTTGAGCCTGGAATTGTTGCTTTTCGTATTCTTGAAATAATTCATATAGTTCTTCTTTATTGTTTTCATTTAAGAATTCCTCAGGATTCATCTTGATTTCATCTTTTAACCATTTACAGTAAGCAGCATCTTCAGGGCTTATGCCAACATTAATTCATTCCCCGGCTTGCTTATAATCAAATTCTAGATCTTGCCACATATGGATTAGTTCTTTTGTAAAGTTTGAATGAATAACTTTTCAATTAATGTTTTTTTCTTGTCCGGACAAAACTTTTTTTTCAGAAAGTTCAAGATTAGTAAAAACACTCGTAAGATTGTTTTTTTGTGCTTTTTCAATAAAATTTAATAATTTTGTGTCGACTGAAATTTCATTCTTTGATTGAGAGTAAAACCATTCGTTTATTTCTTTAGAATTCTGAGGTTTAGGGAGGTTTTTAAAATCTAATAAGCGGCTAGTATAAATTGCCGAAGGATGAATTTCATATGAATAGAGTGGTGAATCATTAAGCATCGAAAATGATTCATTGTATTCTGTTGTTTCATTGATATATTCTTGGTAAAATTCTTCGTTTCTTTTATGGCACCAATTATGCAAATCTCTATATATTTCGTTGGCGGTTGGTCGAATTGTGGGATCAGCATCTCAACACCTATTAATTAATTTTTCTAATAGTTGTGGTATTTTTTTCTTAAACCTTGGCCTTAGTCCACTACATATTTTCAGAGCTAAAACTGGATCATGACCATATTCATAATAAGGAGGAGCACCAGAAAATATTTCATAGGCGATTATCCCAAACGAATAAATATCAGAAGCTTGGGTATGGGGCCCTTTCCTCAAAACTTCTGGAGCAACATAAGGTAATACTCCATAAATCTCCCCACTTTCTTTTTTATCAACGGGCTGACATAAACCTAGATCAGAAACATAACACCTTTCTAAATTGTTTTCTTTATTAACTAATATATTTCCTGAATGAAAATCACGATGAATTAATCCTTCTTCGTGAATGAAATTTAACCCTTTGGCAATGAAACATAATTGAAACAATTTTTCTTCAAAAGTAATAAATTCCTTATTTCTTAAATAATCTCTCAAATTACCACCACTCATATAGTCTATAACCATTAAATAATTACCGTTCTCTGATTCACGAGAAATTCCATAACAATTTACAATATTGTCATAATCAAGTAATTTATAGTTAGTAATTTCTTGTAAAAAATCAGTTGTGATATTTTGAGAATTATGTAAACTTTTCAAAACAACGTTTTTAATACATGAATGTTTTTTTCATTTTGCCTTATAAACTTCTCCGAAACCTCCACTAGTTAAATATTTGACATCTTCCAAATTAGCATAAGGTATTCACTCCAATACTTGTTGGCAACTAGTTGCGTTTAGTTGATAATTTTGAATGAATTTATCAATTTCTTCATTACCGCCGGTTCAATTAGGGAAGTGTTCTTGAAAACGTTGAGCATTGCAAATTTGACACCAGTCATGGTCAGTCTTGGGTTGATTACATTCCTTACATAACCCCCATCTCTTGTATCTTCACTTTAATTCTCCATTACGAATCAATTTATCAACAAGTTTTTTCTGTTCTGAATTCAAATTATGATAACGAGGAAGATGTTTTATTTGGTTAATTACCTTTTCGCTTAGTGTTTTTTTGGTATAAGACAATAGTCCTCCATGTATTGATGGCCCTCCCCAATGGAGTGGCAATCGAAGTTTTTTTTTCATCATCTCCACATCCTCAGATGTAATTTGATTCGGGGAAGCCCCAAAGAGAAATTTAAATAGTTCTTTTATCACATCATCTACTTTGCTTTCTTCACTTAAATTATTTAAAAAGTCTATAATATATTGACGAGAACAATCACATTTCTTCATATGAGAGTCATGATAGAATTCTCAACGTCTATCTAAACGTCAACCTCTTTTGCGAAAGTAATAACTGACATAAATTACGAAAAAAAGATCACTTCAAAAACCCTCATTTTTCGATTCTAATCATTCTTTGCTTCCAAAATCAAAATAATAGTACTCATAATCTCATTGATAATGCTTTCTGAATTGCTTTTTTAGTTCCTTGTGTTCACCATTATTTAGTACCCAATCGCTATCAACTTTCTTAACTTCCCTTAGTCAACAAACAAAATCTATATCACTAATTTTTAAACCTATATTTACTCATTCCTTAACTTCCTCATAACTAAAACCTCTTTCTTCTCATTCTTTCTGTAACTCCTCTGTAAAATCCGAATGAATATCTTTCCAATCAGTCATTTTTTTATTTCTTATTATACAATTTCTTTCTTCCAAAAAAATCCCCCTATAATCTCTAAACTCTACATTTCCTTCTCGATCCAACAATCTTCCTAACTAAACAAACCATTTTTCACAAAACAAACAAAATTATTCCAGTCGAAACCAGTAAAACCACTCATTCACTCGCCGGACTAACTTCGGCTTGTAATAAGTCATAAACTACTCAACTAACCAGTTTCTTAACTATATCCCGAGCGAAGAATTGGGCTGTTTTAACTAATTTTTCACTAACAATTCTTGATAATTCATAACCTTTAATTTTCTAATTTGAAGTATGGCGAATAATCCCTAGCAATTATCGGGGAATTTTCCCCCGAACTCTTCCGGAAAAAATAAACCGCCAAACCTAACAAAAGCATTAATCACAAGCCCGCTCAAATACTACCCATTGCTAAACAAACTGGCCCCGAGCATTCGTTTTTATCGGCTCAATGAGTTCCTAAATAAAACAAAAGAAAGCCTACGAGAGTAGAAATTAATCCCGCTACACAGTGGCTTCCGTAAAGAGAATAGTTATTGCGGTTAGAGTTTAGTACGTTCATTTTGATTTGCTTATTATTTTAAAGTTTGGGAAGAAGTCTTTCGGTCTCGACTAAAAAAATAATGTGTTGCTGGTAGGTAAAAATCAGCCCTTTAACTTTAATTCTCTTATGATAGTCGTTTGTTTTTTTTAAGCATTTACCCACACGCTCACACGAGAAAGAAAGAAACCAACTATTTTTTACTTAAAAAGTTGGATCCGTGATAACTAACCCAATGCTTAACTTGACACTGGTAAATTCCGGCCTGAACTAGTTCCTCGCTACAAAAATGATATTCGTTTTCTTTTATGCCTGCTTGCAAACAAGAAGCACAAGTAGGCTTTTTAACTGGATAATAATCAGACCAGAGACTATTGGGTTGGATTAATTGGTTCGGTTTAGTTTCTCCGCTGGCTTTTTGTTGGTTTCAATATTCCCGAACTCGTTTCTTTTCGGCGGCAATTCATTCCGGAGTAAAATGGTTGGGGTCGGCTCCAATGTTTTCTAACATAGTTTCAAAGGAACATTTTCTTTCCGGGTTAGCCGTTTCAGTTGTATTAATAATTTCTCTCCTGGCTTGTATTAATTCATCAGTTGTATTAATTTCGTGAACCTCGCTGGTTGTATTAATCTTTTGCGGTGGAACAAAAGTTGTATTAATTCCCTGGCTTTTTGAATAGCGTTCTTTATTCTTTTGTTGGATGTATTCTTTTCTCCTCTGATTATACTCTCTTCAAAATTCAGCATCTTTCTTTTTCTTGGGGTTGGACTCTTGGTTTTGGGAGTTGTTGGCTAGTACGTTCATCTTGGTTATTGCTTTTATTGTACGATTTATTTAGGAAACAATAAGCAAAATCACTAGGCTTTCGACTTACTTTTTTTAAGACCGAATA